TGATCAGCCCCCGATGTTTCATCCAAGTTCCCCCTCGTCAACCTCGCATCCACTTCGCTCTGATCGCGGTTATCTCTCGCGCGTAGGCGGAGCCGTCTTCGCGCAGAGCGGCCAACCTTCGGTCCGAGCCCTGGCCGAGAAAGAGCGAGTCGGGACCCAACATGCGTGGCAACTATCTCAAGCCTTTCCCTCCTGCACCTCCTGCCCCCCAAAGCGAAGTCCTGGGCGGTTCGCCGCGATGCCGATGAGGTTGCGCCCGCGCGAGCTGGCTCCGATCACCTTGATCCTGAAGAGAAAAAAAAAAAAAAAAAAAAAAAAAAAAAAAAACCCTTAGCGAGATCTGCGGGGGATTAAAATCTCACATTCCCAGTTCTCCTCTCCCCTCCCCCTCCCTCTCTCCTCCTCCTCCTCCTCCTCGCCGCCGCGCGTTCTCGCCCTCCCGCGCGTTCGACCTCCTCCCGATCCTCGACCCCTCGCCTCCTCGGGGGGAAGCCGCAGCGCGGCCCCCGCCCCCCAGCAGCGGCGCAGGTGCCAAACGGCCAGAGCAGGCTCGGTTTTGATTTTCCCGAATTTATCCCGATTCACCCGGAATTTACCCGGGATTTGCTCGTTTTTTTCCTTTTTCCCGCATCATTTTTGGAGGACGTATCAGGCGGGAGCTCGATTCTTCCCGATTTTACCGGGATTCGCCCGGGATTTGCCCGGTTTTTCCCCTCCCTCCCCGCCGCGGGCCCGGGGGCCCACCGGGCCCATGCGAGGGCCCTGGCGGGCCCGCGCGGGTGCCCTTGCGGACCCGCGGGCCCGTGCGACCACGTCCCGGGGGACTGAAACAGGCCCGCGTGGGCCCACGGGCCCGTCTCCCGCATTCGTTCCAGCGACGGTTGCGCTCGCGAGCCCCGCCTAGTCAAGCACGCCCCAAGCGGGGGCCGCCCGGAAGAGCTCCTCGGGACGAGACCAACGATAGAACATGCTCCAGCGACAATGGGCAGGGCGCCGCCGCATCTCCAACTGAGCCGAGGCAGCCACATCGTATCATTTTTCCAGACCAGCGTGGCCCTCCCCAAGCTTCGCTCTAAAGTGCTGCCCGACGCAGGCGCCTAGATCCCGATCGATCTGGCGACAAACCATTCACCAGCTAGTCGAGAGCAGACTGCCTCATTCCTCCCTGATCTTCTGCCCCCTGCCCCCAGACATCTGCTGGCCCTCGCCTTTTCCAAACCCCTTGCCGCCGCAACCCCCTCTCCATCCCATGATCAGTCTCCGACTGCTGACCCCTAGAATGGCGGGCGCACGCGCTCGCTGCATGTCCAGCTGGCGCCCAGGGTCGCGAGGGGAAAGGGGGGAGAGAGGAGGCGAGGGAGTGATGCGATCAGGGCGGAAGGAGAGATGGTGGACATTGTCTGATGATAGCGTTGGAGATGGTGATGATGATGATGACGATGATGATGATGATGTTGCTGAAGCTGTTGATGTTGATTGCGAAGATGGTGACGATGCTGATGGCGATGACGATGACTATGACGATGACGACTACAACGACAATGATGATGATGATGATGTTGCTGATGCTGCTGATGATGATGCGGGTGATGTTGTTGATGATGCTGATGACGATGGTGACGATTATGATGATGATGATGAGGACGATGATGACGACGATGACAAGGACGATGATGATGTTGGGGACGATAATTATGACGATGATGAGGACGATGCTGCTGATGATGATGATGATGGTGACGACGGTGGCCATGGTGACCATGACGGCGATGGTGATGACGACGATGACGATGACGACGGTGATGGCGACGATGACGATGATGATGACGGTGACGGTTACGATTGTGACGATGACGATGATGACGATGGCGATGATGATGAGGAGGATGAGGAGGAATATGATGAGGATGCTGATGATGATGATGACGCTGATGCTGTCGATGCTGATGATGATGGTGATGAGGAGGACGAGGAGGAGGAGGAGGATATGTTAGAAAGAGGGTTGGGAGGACGGGCGGGAATGGGCAAGGGGAAGAACAGGGTGCGCAGGGCGGTGACAGGGGGCGGGGTAGGGTGGGATCGGTCGAGCACGGGGGCCTGAACAACTAAAAAAGCGAGCCTAAGTCACCTTTCGGCCGAGGAACTCGGTCACTGAGACGGCTGGTCGTTCTCGACCTCCTGCCTGATCTTGACGCAGATGGCATCGACCACATCGATCATGTCCGTGAGCTCGTGGAGCTTCTCGTCGACCCTCTGCGGGCTGTGCTCGTCGTTGTTGATGCTGCAGTTCTCCAAGACCGCCCAGCTCAGGATCCCGTCCGCTTCGACGTGCTGGGTGAGCCTAGCGAAGGAGCGCTCCAGCTTGCCCTTGAACCTGTCGTCGCGAGCCCAGGACCAATCGGCCCCCCCATCGCTGATGCTCTTGAGCAGCCTGGTCGCATGGAGGTTGGTCGCGCCGAACTTCGCCGTCACCTCCTTCAGGAACTTAGAAGTCGTCGCAGACGTCGGCTTGTCGACTTTGGCCCTGGCCTTGCCCTTGGGCCTGGCTGTGACCTTGAGCTGGCCCTTCTTGCCTTTGGCCTTGCCCTTGCTCTTGTCCAGCTTGTCCTCGCTGTTGTCCCCCTTGCCCTTGCCCCTCTTGCCCTTGTCCCCGCCGCGGCCCCCCTTGATCTCACCCTTGGCCTTCTTGAGCGGAGGCTCCCCGTCATCTGCGGCCGTCTGCCTCTCGCTCACTCGGTCCGCCCCGCGCGCCCCGCCCGGGCGCTCCTCGGCCGAGTCCCCAAGCCTCGCAACTGGGGAGGGCGTTGACTCCTGCGGCGGTCTGTCATTCGGGGATGGCGCCACCGCCTCTGGGGCGGCGACGCCCTGAGACCCTGAGCCGCTGGCGCCGTTCAATCGCGGCCTAGTTGCCTCGGTTTTCGTCCTCGTCCAGGAGTTCGCGTCGCCCTTGAACTCCTCGTCATCGAACTTTTGGAATTCGATTCTGCCGCTCCACTTGTCTATGCGGACGAACTTCTTGCCCCTCGCGAGGCACTTCTTGGCGATGTTCTCAGCCCCCCTGACGCGCGCCTCCGAGGGGAACGCTGCGCCCCCCGATTGATGACTGACGAGCATGTCGAAGTTGTACCACTTGCCCCTGGACTGGTTCGCGCTGAACGCCAGCTCGATCTTGGACTGCTCCTCCTGAGGAGGCCATCGGCGACATGCATATTTTATACAAAAAGTGGAGGAGCAGGAGGAGAGGAGGAGGAGGAGGAGGAGGAGGAGGAGGAAGAGGGGGAGGAGTAGCTGTAGGGAGGAGGAGCAAGGGGAGGAGGAGGTAGGGGTGGAGGAGAGGAGGATGGGGGAGGAGAAGGAAACAGGAGAGACGGTTAAACGTTTCCCGAGTGTCCTTGTAGTCGTCCCATTCGCTCTGTGCCCACTCCTGGCGCTTCTTGTGTTTCTCGGCCTGCCGCAACTTCTTGTACGCGTTCTGCTCATCTGCGTTGTGCGCCAACCAGCGCGCAAAGCGTTTTCCGACTGGACCATCCGAGGGCACCTTGACGAAACCTTCTGCTGCCAAGGCCTCGAGGACATCATCGTGGTGCCTCTCCAGTGCGAGCGTCTTCTCGCTCTCCTTCTCCGTGTCATCCTCGTCGTCCTCCACGACTGCTGCGTGCCATCTGCAGTGAGGTTCTGGAACATCCTCATCAGCGTCAGCTCGAATCCAGGGTTGAGCGTTTGCCCGATGTTCACCCGGGCATCCTTTCGGGGGGAGAGGCCCGCAGATGTTGTGCGAGGTCAACGCGAGTCGACGAGACATCCGAAGACAGATATCGGCCCCTTCGGCAAGTGACGGAACCGATGCATATAAACAAAAAGTAGGGTTGAAGAGAGAACAGGAGGGGCAGTTGGGAGATGAGGGCGAGGAGATTGAGGAGGAGAAGGAGTGGCAGGAGGCAGGGCGATAATGGCGTCGAAAGCGACCATGCCGACCGGGGGGAACGAGAGGTGGCAGCAAGTGTCGAGGACGAGGAACTGATGGTTGGGGGTTAGCGGAGGAGGAGGAGGAGGAGGAGGAGGAGGAGGAGGAGGAGGAGAAGGGGGAGGGGGAGGAGGAGGAAGAGCAGAGGGGGCACGTGGGTGGAGGGGGAGGAGGAGGGGGAGGATACGGAGGAGAGGCGGCGATGGGCGAGAGGGAGAGGCAGAGATCAAGGAGGGGCAGAAATAGCAGCTCCTCCTTGATGGTGTCGATCCTCTCCTGGTCCTCCTCGCTCTTGAGGCTGAAGTTGCTCAGGAAGGCATCGGCCTGGCGGAACGGCGGAGCGAGGAGGAGCACGAGAAAGGACCGAGAGAGCTGGTAAGATACTGGATCATCCGCGCCAGACCAAGCGCACCAGGGAGCGATGTGGCCTAAACCCCGAGAAATCAATGCCCCATAACGCGAAACGGTGCCAGCATCACCAAGTGGCAGATCAATGTGCGGAGGAAATCTGGAGATGGACAATCGAGTGATGAGGAGGGTGTTGAGGATCAGGGGGCGAGGGTGAGAAGGGGGTGGCGGCGGTCGATGCGGTTGCTCTGTCCCTGCAGTGCGGGGCCCACGCGATGTCACTGATGAGCGATTGCGCTCGTTGCCTGGCATCGCCAGCACTGCCCTAAAGTTGCATCTGCTCTCCCCACCCCTCTCCTGTCCAGGCCACTCCCCATGTCACCCTGACTTATCGCCAATCCACTCGGCACTCGCGATGTTTCCCGCTTGATCCCTTCCTCCCAGCCTCCCTCCTTCCCTCCCTCCCTCCCTCCCTCCCTTCCTCCGCCCTTCCCTTCTACCCTATCCTCCCTCCTTCCCTCTCCATGCTACGTGGCTCTACCTAGCGCCGAGCAGACCACTACTCAGAGTCGGAGGTCACGGGTGGAGGCGATAGCTGTGTCTTCTTCCTCTCTGGCGGCTCGTGCTGACCAGGGATCTTCCTCTTCGGAGTGGCAGGCGCTGTCGGGGACTGAGTGGCAGGTGCGGCCGTGAGCTTCTTCGCGGCGAAGTCCTCGCTGTCGGTGATCTCCTTCTCAACGGGTGTCTTGGTGATCGCATGCTTCTCGCTGGACTTGGGCTCGTCGGACTCCTGACCAGGGGCCTCCTCGGATACCTCGGCTGCCGCGGGCCTCTTCAGCACTGCCTTGTCCTGCGTGCCGTTGGACTCCTGACTGAGGGCCGCGCCCTTGGATACTGCCGCGGGCCTCTTCAGCGCTGCCTTAGCCTTCGCACCAGCTTTACACTTCGCCTTGGGGCTCGCCTTCTGCCCCCAGTCGCTCGCATCCACGAGCGTGGATTTCTCGGCCAGCATCCCAGCCTTGTCCAGCTTGCCATCGCAGAAGCGTTTCGCCATCGACGAGCACCACTTGCACGCCAGGATCTCGAGCTCCTCTTGCTCCTGCTCGGCCGTCGTCCGAAACACCTCGATGTTTACTTGGACCAGCTGGGGGTTGTCCTGCCACTTGACTGTGGCCAAGCGCTCAGCGATCTTGCCACTGGGCTTGTTCCACCGCATGCCGACCCACACGGCCTTGCCACCGGGCTCCACCCCCGAGAAGCAATGCTCCGAGTGCTTCTTCTTCACCTGGCCACCCGTGGCGGCCGCTGCCTCCTCCGCCTCTTTCCACCTGCCCGATGTGGTCTCTGGGACAGGCCTCGTCATCCCGTCCTTGAACTTGGCAACGACAGGATCCGTGTCTGCGTTCCCTGGCGTCATTTCGATGGCCCATTCGGCGTGCTCACTACTCCTCGCTCCAAGCCGCCTGCGCCACGCAATCATCGTCTCGGCGTCATATCCGAACACGTACTCGATCGGCTTACCGGGCGATGCCGCACATGCCGAGGCCGTCTGGGATGCTGCTGGCTTTTTCGCAACGGCTCCACCGCCATCTCCCTCAGCCTCTTCTTCCTCAGCCTCTTCTTCCTCAGCCTCGGCTTCCTCAACCTCTTCCTCCTCGTCCTCCTCCTCCTCTTCCTCCTCCTCTCCTCCTCCTCCTCCTCCTTATCTTCTTCCTCGTCGTCATCGACCTTGGGCTTCTTGCGCTGCGCAGCCTTCTGACCCTTCACAGCCTTGGCCTTGCTGCCGCCTGCGCCGTCGATGCCGAGCTTCTGGAACCACCTCGGCGCGCTGTCACGCTTCCTGCACTGATTCACGTGCCTGAGCATGTGCCGAACACGGCCCTGCATCTCCTCCGCCCAATCTTCTAATTCGGCGTCCGATCTGAACTTGATCGTGTTCTCAGCTGCAACGAGCTTGAGAGCCTCCTTCATGGTGGCCTTCACGATGACTAAGCTGTTCTCCGCCTGGGATGGGGATGCAAAAAACAACTCCTTCGTCCCTTTCCTCCCCTCCCCTCCCCCTCCCTCCCCATCCTCCCTGATCTCTGGTCCCTCCACTCCCCTCTCCAGTACTTCCTCCACCCTCCCTTCGCCCTCACCCCCTATTTCCCTGTCCCTCCTCCTTCTCCTTCCGTGTCTTCCCGATCATCCGCCCCCTCGTCCCTCCCCCCCCATCGCCCGGGCACTTCGACCCTGACGCCGCCTCCCTAGTCTAGCTTAGGTCGTTGCTTTTCTTTCTAGAGGCGCGAAGCGCTCGACGACGACGACGACGACGACGACGGCGACGGCGACGGCGACGGCGACGGCGACGGCGACGGCGACGGCGACGACGACGACGACGACGGCCACGGCGACGGCGACGGCGACGGCGACGAAGGTTTGACCCGACCCTTGATTTGGTAGCAGCTCTTGATCAGCTCGACGTGTTTCGTGATTTTCTCCTGGTTCACCCCGCATGCCTTGTCGTACTTCAAGAACGCTGCAGTTGACACTAACGGCATCATGGCCCTCGCGACCTTTTCGGCGGTAGCCATCTAGCTTCTCCCGTGGGCCACTCCGAACCACTTCGGAGCCACCTCGAAGCGATCCAGAACAGCTGCGGCGATGAGAAACTGGAGATGGGAAGTTGGAGGACACGGGGGCGGGCGGGAGGGATGCGGAGGAAGATGATGCGGAGGGGGAGAATGAAGAGGAGGAGGAGAAGGACATGGAGCGAGCGAGGGAGGGAGGGGCGGAGGGGGGGAGGAAGAATGAGGGAAGGAGATGAAAAGGGAGGGGGCGGAGGAGGGGGAGGAGGAGGACGAAAAGGAGCACAGGGGGAGGAGGAGGTTGCGGTGGAGGCGGGATTGGCAAGGGTAATGTATGCAGTGTCTCGCCCTCGCTCTCCATTCTCCTCGTCTTCCTCCTGGTCCCTCCTCCTCCTCCTCCTCCTCCTCCTCCTCCTCGCTGCTCCTACTCGCCGCTCCTCCCACCCTCTCTTCAGCCTCGCTTTCCTCGTCACCCGATGAGGGGCGGGGCAAGGGCAGCAAATGGCATCGGGCAGCGCGGCCTCCTTCTCGATGCCCTTGGCACCCGCCGACAGCAAGTCGTTCTCCGCGATGGGTTCGGGCTGCTCATCCTATGGGGGCCCGGGGGGGGGGGGGCAGATCGGCTCCCTCCCCTCCCTCTCCCTTCCCACTCCTCCCCTCCTGTCCTTCCGCAGCCTTCCCCTCCCTCCCCCCTCTGCCCCCTCCCCCTGCGGCATCGGTTTTGCTTTGACGGTGCACCTGCTCGGCGGCAGCGACCGGGTGGGGCTCGACGGGGGCGGCGGGAGTGACCGGGGGCGCCTCGGCCGCTTCGGCCGCGGGGGGCGCCGCGGCCGCCTCGGCCGCGGCGGGGGTGGCATCGCCCTCGCGAAGCGTCTGCGTCGCCGCGCCGTCGCCCCCGCCCCCCACTGAAATCACGGACTCGGCCGCATCCTTCTCCGATTGACGCGCGCCCAGCTCGGCCTGGTCCACCTGACACTCGGGGACCACCTCGGGATCCAGGGCTATTTTCTCAAGGGGAAAAGCACCCGACGAACAAGAAACGTCTTTTGAATACAGTTATTGGGCATTGTTTCTACCCAGCTCTGAAGAGATGCACGGTGGGATAACCGCGAGGTAGACGACGACGACGACGACGACGACGACGACGACGACGACGACGACGACGACGACGACATCGACGACGACGACGACGAGGAGGAGGAGGAGGACGACGACAAGGAATGCGACGACAGAGGACGCGAAGAGTGCCCACGAGGAGAAGGAGAAGCATGTCCTTTCCTCCTTCTCTCCATCCCAGCGCGCCCTTACGTTGAAGCTCCCGTGCGCCCACCTCGGTATCGTCTGCGTCGCCATCGCCAGAAACAGAAATCGATCAAGAGCTAGGTACAATGGTATCTGCCCTCCATGTGCTAGCGCTGGGCCATCCATCGACGTCCCACCAGACCAACAAATCCTCCGAGGCCTCATCATCCTCCCACCTCTTGGGGTTCGAACATCACCCTCCCACGGTTTGTCCTCATCCCCCTCGTCCTCCTTTCTCGTTTCTATCGCCCCGTGCGCCTGGGGGGCTGTCACTCGGGCCCCAACGCCAAACCCATGACCAGGTCCCCCAGCGGATTCATGAGACTGCCGTAGGGGGGTTCGGCGATGCGCTCATGATCTGTTGACCCGTTGTCCTCTGCGAGACTCTCGCCCTCCGCAGCCTCTTCGAGAGCGCGCGTGGGGGGCGAGCAGCGGGGGGTAGGACGAGGGAGGGAGAGGGGGCCACGAAGGCCCGTTCCAGGGATGAGTCCACAGCATTCTTGCCCATTAAAGTGCCAGGGGCCTAAGACGAGGGCGAGGCTGGCGACGCTTTCCCTCCCTCCTCCGCCCCTTTCCCCGTCCCCCTTTTCCACATCCACCTCCCCCTCCTCCTCCTTGTCCGTCACCCTTTTCCTCGTGTGCCCTTCTCCCAAAGAAGCGGCCTCCTCGTCCTTCTTGTTGAAGAAGGCCACCCTTGTCTCGGCTCCGTTCCCTACGAGACGGCACTGGAAGCCTGTGCCCGCCCCTCTGATCACCCCTCGAACCGCAACGGCTGCTGCTGCCTCTCTCTCTCTCTCTCTCTCTCTCTATCTCTCTCTCTCTCTCTCTCTCTCTCTCTCTCTCTCTCTCTTTCTCTCTCTCTCTCTCTCTCTCTCTCTCTCTCTCTCTCTCTCTCTCTCTCTCTCTCTCTCTCTCTCTGTCTGCTTCTTCTCGCTCGCGAACTCCTCGCGCCCCGTCATCCAAAACTTTCCTCGCTGTCGTAAATGCCTCAATCTGGCCCGGGCGCGCGTCTCTCGACGACAGAGATAAGCAACGTCAGCGCGCCTTACAAGTGCAAGGCCGTAGGCGTATAGTTATACACATATGTTTGAGTAGATGTACGCATTCTTTGTATGTGTATATGTGTATGTGTACATGCGCATGCATATGCATGTATGTATATGTATATGTATGGGCACATGTAACTGTATAGAATGTTTGATTCAGCCCGAAACGCGCTAACTACATGAAAACTGAAACGGACTGAAACTAGTTGAAACTAATTGAAACCAATTGAAACTAATTGAAACGAGTTGGAACTAATTGAAACGAATTGAAACAATTGAAACCAACTGAAACAAAAAAGTTTCAGAACTACTGAAACAAAAAAACTATGGGTAGACTCCCGCCCAAGACTCCTGACCCCTGGACTCCCACCCAAGACTCTGTGCACCTGGACGCCCCGCTGGGCTCCACTCTGAGCCAACCCAGAGACGAAATCGCAAACGGCCCGCGGGTGGCCCAGTGGCGGCGCCTAAACGCACCGCCACCTAGCCATCGCTCCAAGCACCGCTCGCATTCCCCTCTCTGGGCACGCCCCGTGGAGACCGCGACCCAACATATATCTGGATGGAGGTCGGATCGACTTCAAAAACTGCATGCTGCAGGAGGTGAGTGTGTAGTGCGTATGCGCATTCATACATGTGTGTGAGAGAGAAGGATGTAACTTATTCATCCATTTCATCGATTGTTTATATCATGTGCACATAGTCGCTATGCATTAAGTTTCCGGTCGAATATATGTGTATAGATATGTAAATGCTGCTATGCATGGCATATGTAAGTGCAAAACTACAAAAAAAATAGCCGTGACAGTTTTTTTTGCCGCAACGAAAGCCAGCTATATTTTAGCTGGGGGTGTAGCCACACTGCCCCGGGAAGTGACTGAGAGCAGAGGCCGTCTCCCGGGCGAGGGTCTTGATGTCGCCCAGACCGCTGTAGGCCTCGTGTCGGATGCTCTTACCCATCGCGCTCTTGGCCCCCTGGATCTCGCGCCCTACCTGGCCCTTCTGCCAGGGCGCGCGCGCCGCCGTCGGATCGCGGGCGCTTCCGCCGCGCGAGAGGGCGCCCGCGAAACTGCCGCTCACAGGCGCCCGCTGGACGTCTGACGCGAACTGGTCGGGCGGGCCGGCCCGCGACAACCGCGGCCGTTCATGTCGCCCCCGCAGCTCTTCGCTGCCATGCAATATCCCGCTGCCGCGTCCTGTGCCAACAGGAACCACAAACCCTCGCCACTATATGATCACTGACCTTAAACAGGTCTGCCTAAACCACCTCGTTGAACGTCAGATCGTCTTCGCGTAGACGGGCGGGGCGAGGGGGTCGAGGGCGTCGCTTGCGCGGCCGATCGGCGCAGCTGGAGCACCGCGTCGCCTCGGCGCCGGCAGCGGCCACCTCGGACCCCCCTGCTTTCGCCGCCAGGCGTGCAAAGTCGCCCGGACTGGCGCGTCCTGCGTTGATGCGCAGCCCCCTCGGGTTCCGCCGGAGCACGGGCGCCGCGCGCTTTTCCATTGTGTTTCTGGCCGTCGCGCCGGGGAATTGGAGCGCGATTCCGTCCGGGATGGCTGCTCCACTGTCTTCTTGCGTTGCTGCCGTAGGGCAACGGGCAACCGAGGGCCCCGCCTCCAACGGTCTCGCGCCGACGCGACCCGACGCGGGGCCCCGTCTGAGCCGACTGATCCTTTCCGGCTCTGAGCCTCGGAGGAACCGTCGCAGTCCACGCATGGTCCGAAGTGCCGCGAGCCGCCGCCGCGCCTGGAACCAGCCGGCCGGGCCGCCCCCGGTCTTGACGACAGCGCGCTCTTCGGCGGCGAGATTCGCGCATCTGGTGGCCCGCCAACTCGGACTCCGCGCAGCGCCTCAAGCCCCGCCGACCCGGTGAATCACGCGGGCCGCCGCGCGCCGTCTCGACCGACGGCTTGGCGGACAGCGCGGGGATGGGTCTGGCGTTCCGGATCAGCGCGCAGCCTCCGAATCCCCCCTGAGTCTCTCGTTGTCTCCGCCGATCCGCGTCGCTTCCTACTGGCCTGGACATCGTTGCTGTCGAGCCTCCGCTCGGAATCTCGACCGCCGCCAGCCTGAATCTCACCTGTGCCAACATCGCCAGGGCGGCGTCTCGGCTCTCTTCCCGACCGAGGTCCCGGTCGCACGTCGTGTCCCACGGCCGCAGGCACGGCCGGCCGTTTTCCTATCCTACGCGACCGACCTCGCTGGGGCCACTAGAAGCTCCACCGCGCCCACTCGATCGGTGCCCCAGCGCTGTTGGGCCCACTGGCCGCCGCGCGCCCAGTCTCCGAGCACGCCCGCGGCGAACGTGACGTTCGCGAGCAGAGCCCCGCACCTCTCCCTGACCTGCTCGGCGGCTTGTCCCGTCAGGCGTCGGCCCCGGGGGTCGCCGCCCCCTTTCCTGCCCGACTGGCCCTCGCGGCGGCCAGCCCTGGTCGCGTCGCGCGGCTCTCCGCCGCGGCGCCACGGGGGGCCCTCCCCAGAGCCCGCCTCCATGGATGCCTCCGCTGCGATCCCCGCGGGCTCTCTCTTGGGGGTCAGGCTCGCCGGCCTCGGCCCTAGGCCCTGGGGCCGGGGCCCGCCCGGTCTCTGCTTGTGCGTCGTTCGCGCGCTGCCTGACGTCTTGGATGACCTCTTCCCTTGTTTTGTTGCGCCCGTCCGCCCTCGTCAGCCCGATCTCTCTGATCGCGGCCTCTCCCCGCAGCTTCGCCAGCGACATCTTGCTCGACCCCCTCGGCAAGGCGGTCCGCGGATCGTCCGCCGCCGCCTTTTCCTCCCGGGAGGCGTATTTCCTTTCTCGGAGCGCAAGCCTCAATTGGCCAACGGTCTCCGCTTCCGCTTGATCGCGACGCCGCCCCAGCTCCTGCATGGCCATCGTCGCCAGCTCGGCCTTGCGCATCTGCCAGATGCTTCGAGCGCGGCCATCCATCTGCCGAAGGGTCTCCACTTCCTTTCCAGGAATCCCATCGGGAGGTCCTGGAACCAAGCCTTCCAAACCAGGAAGACCCACTGCAGTCTGCAGAGCCAGCCCACCTCGCACGACCCCGGCGCGGCACCGCGCGACCGTCGGGCACCGCGGCGGCATCCGCTCGCGCACGAGTGCCTTTTCCGCCCAGGCTCTCCCCGACTCGCTGTCGCGGGAGTCTTAGGCCGAGACGAGCTGTGGTCGCCGCCGTCGCCGCGGTCTCGTTCTGCTCGTTTTCTAAGGCCTCGTCGCGGTCGTCGTCAGCATGGGCCCCGTCATTGTAGAGCACACAGTGCGCGCCCTCGGGTGACGGGCTGTGCTCGTAGAAAGCGACCTCGGCACCGCCCAGGCACTGGCTCGCTGCCCCCTCAGCTCCCACGCCAGGCCCCGTCGACCCGCAGTTGAGGGCGGACGTCGCCAAGTGACCCGAGCTCAGCTCCTTGAGCGGCAATCGGTCTCGGCCGACCGCGCCCAGGGTGACCGCGCCCTCCTCCACGCGGGCGCGCGCCTCCAGCTTCTTCAGGGCACCGCCTGAGATCGACGGGGGCGGGCCCTCATCCACGAGGCAGGAGCGGACCGCGATTTCTTGGCCACCCCATTCCATGGGCGCCGACGCTTCCGCGCCGCCGTAGATCGCGCCGCCTGGCCCGCACCGATAGGGCTCACGTTCCTTCGCGACAATGAGCTCGTAGCCCCGCGTCTTCCTGACGCGCGACGACAGCCGCTGGCGCCCGGAGAGACCAGCCGCGGTCTCGGCGCACGCCGTGTCGACCACGATCAGCCACAGCTCGTTCCCAGTCTCGGCGATCGCCCGCCCTGCGGGTCCACGAACGCAGGCCCATCCTCGCGCGCAAGCTTCGCGTCGCCGACAGGCTGGCTCACCACATCCACCGCTCTTCCCCCGCCCTTGCCAGGGGCCCGTCGACGCTCTGGGTCGCCCTTCCAGCTGCCCAGACGGCCGAAGCGCTTTCGCGGAAGAGTCTGTTTGAGCCTCTTGACCCGCTCGACACTGGCACCGCCGCCTTCCGTCGCGCCGCCGCGGGAGAAGCCGCGCGCCTTCGAAGCCACGGCGCGGACCTTCTTTGCCTGGGCCATCAGGTTATCATCGCGGCGTTATCTGTCAGGCAGGCCACTATCTCCTCATGAACCTGCGCGTGCTCAGCCGCTTTCTGCCCCGTGCTCCATCTCCTCGTCGTGCTCCGCGTCTTCGGGCCACTCGCCGTCGTCTTCCGCGGCGTCATCAGGGTCGCCCTCCTGGCCCCCGCGCACCGCGTGCGCGGCGCGACCCCCGCCGCGGCCCGCGGCCCGCCCTGGCCTTCGACGGTTCCGGTTCAGGTGCCCTCGGCGGGCTCCGCCTCCGCCACCTGCGCTTGGCGGCAGGGCCGACGTCCTCCGCTGCGTCGACGCGCGGGGCGGGCGCGCCTCGGCGGAGCCGCGCAGCTTCTCGTAGACCAGCTCGTCGCCAGCGCCCGTGATGATCTGGCTCTCCACGTCGCCGCCCACTCGCAACTTCTCAAGGAAGGCCTCCAGGTGTTTGTTCAGAAACTCGCCCATGGCCTCGTCGAGCTCGCGGATCTACGTCTCGTCGCGCGCCTCGAAGTCCAGCGCGCGAGCTTCTCCACGAAGTCGCCCACCAGCGCGCCGACCTTCAGCGTCTCCTGCTGGTCGCTCCTGCTGCGCAGGTAGCGCAGGAGCACCTGCGCGCCGTCGGGCGCGGCGAGGGCCCAGGGGTCGAAGTTCTCCGTCTTCGACTCAGCATCCTCCTTGAGCCTGGAGAGCAGCCAGCCGCCCCGCCGCTGAGGCGGGATCGCAATGTTCAGCTCAAGTCTTCACCCGGCGCTCGCATGCAAGGAGCAGCGCCGACTTGCAGCCTCACTCGAGGACGATCCGCGGCCGCGCCAGTCTGTCTCCGGCGGCTCCGCCGACGGCTCGCCAGCCGCCCCAGCTCCAGGTCTCCGAACGTTCGCTGGATGACCGGTCCCGACCAGGGTCGGCCCTGGCCTCCGTCGCCCGCCCGTGCCAGGCGGGCGACGCGCCTGGCTCCGGCCTGAGGGGGCCCCAGCGCCCCTGCCCCTCGGACCAGGAACTTCCCCACTCACGCCATGGGAGTCCGCGAGTGCCCCAGCCACTCCATGAATCCCATCCGCCATAGCAACGCCGCGCCTCGTCCACGGGGCCCCCCCGCGCCGCGGGGGGCGCCTCCGGCGCGCGCCTCCGGCGCGCGCCGCAGCGGCCGCGCGCCGCGGTCGGCCCGCGCGCCGTCGTCGGCCGATCGGAAACCATCGTCTTCTTCTGGGCCACCGGCGAGGGGGCTGCCCCCTGCCTCTGCGCGCCGCGCGAGGGCTCGAGCTGCTGCCGCCCCAGCGTCCATGTCCCTTGCTGAAGACATGTCGATTCCCCACTGGGGTCAGGCCTCGCCGAGGCCCCTCCGCCGCGACCTACGCGGCGGCACTCCGCGCCGTGGATCGAACCCGCTGGACGACAGCTCCGCTACCAATGTCGATGCGACGTGCTCTTTCACCACGAGCGGTTCCGCCTTGCTGCAGGCACCGCCGCCCTAGCGCCAGGAGGGCCCGCGGCAGCAAGCGTCGCCGGGAAGGGGGGTGGGCGGACGCGGCGGCAGTGAACTTCAACGCAGAGAAAGGAAAGATGGAGAAAGGTAATAGGCGAGAAGAATAAGGAAAACCAGCGCGCAACACATATTCCACTGAGACGCTCAAACCACAAATAAGTACCCAACCAAAAGAACAAATTGGAACAGATTCCTGCGCGCCCCGCCTGAAATCTGACGGGCGCCCCTGGAGGGCCAAACATCGCCCCGCGAAAATATGCACCAAAATTATGGCATGTCTCTCGATGCGGGCCACTCCGGAAAGACGACTCCGAACGCTCGGCGCCAACTCGCACGCGCAAATTGTCGGCCGCGGCGACGAGGCGGAGACAACGTACGGGCGGCGGCCGGGCTCTCAATACTTAGGACGCAGTCCTGCGGCATGAGCCATCCAGGCGTGGACGCGGAGGAAGGTGAAGAGAACGGCATCAGCCGTCCACGAGCGCTCAGCATGGACGGTGCGCACATGCACACACGCGCGGCATTTGGCGTCGCGGCCTTGCGCGCGGCGGCAGGGCAGGGAACGACAGAAAGCGCAAACGCACACTCGAAACGCCCGAACCCTCAAAAACCGCCCTCGGTCTCGCAGACGCCGTCAGCCATGAACCGCCAGGGCGCGGATGGCAGAGGGGGGAAGTGCGTGGACGAATCTACGGCGCGGTGAAAGCGACGCAAGCCAGCTGGGGCTGGAAGGCGGGGGAAACGAGTAAGCAGCGTAGACGCGCAGACACGTTGTTTTGCGTCGGCGACTAGGCAGAGTGACTGCGTTTGCGGAAAAGCACACGCTGGGCAAACATATGCAAAATACGCCGCGACGCGCGAGAGGAGGAAGGGAGGCGCCCAGCGAGGGCGGAGAGCAGGGGGGAGACCGGGCCCGCTCACAGCGGGGCCAGGCGGCGGCAGGAGGTGGCGCCGGGGGGGGGGCCCAGCGGCGGCGCGGCGGCAGCTGGGGGGTAGGCGAGCCAGGCAACCATGGGGGCGCCCTGGGGGGGCAGCGCCCAGAGCGGGCAGGTGCCGAGATAGAACGCGACATGCACGCCGCGGATGCCGAGGTCGCAAGTGACCTACAAGGCAACGCGGGAACTGCGGGTGCAGGACCGCCTCGAGGCGAGGAGCTGGCACGGGGGGCGGAGCGCGAGGCGGTGCCCGAGGGCGGGGCAGGGCCCGGCGCGGGCTGGAAGATGCGATGCGCGCGAGGAAGGGCGCCGATGTCGCGGGTGACCTGCGAGGCAGCCCGGGAGCGAGCGGGGCGGGGCCGCCGCGAGGGGGGGGGGGCCGGCCTGAGAACCAGGCGAGCCGAGACGAGCGAACGGGCGGGAAAAGCGAGCGCGGGGAGACGGGCGCGGGCCAACGGGCCGATAGCGCCCAAAACGGGGGGTGGAGGGCGGAGACTGCGCGCGCGGGCCCAGCGTCAGAAACCAGCAAAAGGCCGCGCACAAGGAGCCGAGGTCAGCGGTGACCTGCGAGGCGCCTGGCGGCTGTGAGGACAGGCGCCCCCGCCCAGCGGCAAGCGAGAACGCAGGAGTACTCAGCGAGATGCAACACCGACGGAGAGGCAAGTAGTTGCAGCATGTGGCTGCCAGTGGGCAGGGGGCGGAGGCCAGTAGTCCAGCGGCCCAGGTCCAACCCGCCCGGGGGCTGCCGAGGCCGGGGGCGGGCCCGAGGCGAGCGCGCTTCTCGGACATGTGAATACAGCATCGCCAAGGCAACGCCGTGGGGGCGCGCCCAGACCGGGCAGGAGGGGGGGTAACACCGAACTGGTGCGCAGAACTACGGCAAGCAGGCCAGCCGTTGGCGGCAGGCATGTAGGGGGGTAGCGCAGGTGCGCAGGGGCACCGCCCAGCCCAGGCCGGGATACTGGGTGCCGCCGAGAAGGGCCGGCATGGGCAACAAGAGTTGCCAATGTTTGCACTGGCCGCTGCACAGTAACGACCAGGAGGACCCAAAGCACCGCTACCTCGAATAGTCGTTGCTGGCCCAGGTGGAGTCTGCCGGCCTCTTGCCCTTGCCGTGGGGGGCAGGGCCGTTGCCTTTCTCGCTCTTGGAAGAGCGGCTTCTCTTCTCCAACCTCTGGCCCCAGGCACTTCGCTAGTTGATGTGGATGCCCTTGTTCAAGCAGAGGTAGCGGTCAAAAAAAATGAACTGGACGAGCTGGGACGAGTTCAGGGCCTTCCAGTCTCCAGTGGATCCTGGGCGCCCAGCTAGGGGGGGCACACGTTGTTTGTGGTGGTTTCAGCCCTCCTTCCGCCGGGGGCGAGAAGAATACCCGTCGATCCGTCGAATTCGAAGGTCCATGTCCGACCCAGTCGCGGGACACCTGATTCTTGAGCTCGCAGCTGGAAGCACTTCTGGCGCTTGCGGGGGGGAACAAACATGTGACACGTAGAGCGCATCAGTCGATTCGAAATCGTACTCACATGTCGCAACACTCGCTTCACGGCAATCGAACGCACGTTCGACCTTGAGCTCGCATTTTGCATAGGCCACGTGCAATCGCACGCACGACACCATCGCCCCCGCCTTCCCCCCAGACATGCAAGTCTGGGTGGAACCGACTCGGCCCACGGGCAAGGACTTCGATTTACATGATGGGGGAAAGGAAGGGGCAGGAGAAGGCGGGAACGATGCCCATGTTCCCTGTGGGCCCCTAGACGCTGCAACATACACCATGGGCGAACATGTGAATTCGCACTAAATGCACAAACGCCCGCCGTTTCCTGCAGAATGTTTTAATCGCACGTGGACTCAACGATTGGGAATCGTACTCATGTGTTGTATTGAACTGTTGTGTAGCAGCTGCACGCAAACGCTGACTCGCAAGCACTGTAGTTTAACATGCACATTACCTGGTGACTGGTCGCTATCAACGCACGCCCCGGTGAAACCCGACACCCACCACCCAAAGACAGAGCGGTACTCTAATCCGTGCGCGTCGGCGGGGACGATCGGATCGCGGTCGAGACAGCAACTGGGTCACAGAAACAATTTCTTTATGCTCAAAAGAAACAACTGCAGGCTGGTCGGCCATCTACAATTCCGACATCAACCCCGACGTATGTTTACACAACGATGCGACATCCACCGCTGACAAGGGGAAAAAATGAGGTCCAGGACGACGCTGCCGAGGCAAACAACACACAACCTCGCAGACGAGCCAAGCCGCGACACTGACAGCGTAAGCCACAACCGCGGGCGGGCGGAAACCGCCTGGTGCACATCGCCAGGGACCTATGACAAGAAGTAGGTTAAACGCAGCGCTGATTGAGCCAAAGCCGATGCTGGATAAAGGGGGGCATGGTTCTTGGAAGCCGTCATTCCAAAGAAAAAAAGACTTCAGAGAAGGTGCCAACTCACCCACCAGCCCAAATCCGCCGTTTCTGAGAGCGTGGGCTTGAGCTCGCTCAAGCTTCGCTCTGCAAGGGGGGGGGGACGCAAACGACGAAAGAATTGACACGCAAGGCCTCCCCAATGCCGGGACTCCCCCCCTGTACCTTCCTCTCCGGCGCCCCCCCCTCTCTTCCTGCACCCCCCCCCTTCCCTTGCAATCTCCTCCCCGCCCCACCCCACCCCTCTTCCTGCACCCCCCCCACCCCTGCAACTTCTTTTCTCCCCAGCTCCCCCCTTCCCCTGCACTGCGCCCTGGACAGGAGAGAGGGGGGGGGGAGAGGGAGGGGAAAGGAGAGAGGGGGGGGGGGGACAGGAGAGAGGGGGGGGGACAGGAGAGAGGAAGTGTGGAGGGGGCAGGAGGGAGGGGGGGAAGAGGAGGGGGGTTGGACAGGAGAGAGGGGGGGGAGGGGGGACAGGCAAGCTAGGTGCGCTCGCGTCATACCTGACGTCCTACCCCTCCCTCCCATCCCTTACCATGGCGCTGATTTTCTCTATCCGCGGACGCCGCGGACGTGGCTCCGCGCGCGCGTGCGTAGTGGGTGGTGGTGCACGTGCGTGCGTGCGTGCGTGTGTGCGTTGTTGTCGTGGTGTTGGTGGTGGTGGTGGTGTGGTGGTGGTGGTGGTGGTGGGTGGGTGGGTGGTGGTGGGTGGTGGGTGGTGGTGGTGCTGGTGGTGGTGTTGGTACTGGTGCTGGTGCTGGTGGTGGTTGTGGTGGTGGTGGTGGTGATGGTGGAGGTGGTGGTGCTGTGGTGGTGGTGGTGCTGGTGGTGGT